AAAAAAAAAAACCACCGACACTCTTGTTAAACCCAAGATAGCTAGTAGCCTTTTTGGGCTAATTGAACCAATTCAAGCAACTTAAAATAGATTTCTATTAATCAAGGTACTAGCTCCCTACTTTATTCAAACTCCAGCTGTCATTAGCAGTGATGTTAAAACGACTCATCTGTTCCAAATCTGGCCAATGGGAAAATCAAAGGAGGATGGGAAAATAAATGTCTGCAAAAGTAGAATTAACAATTAAGAGTGAAAAGTACATCTTGAACAGAAAGCTGCCAATATTCTGAGCCATTGACTCAGTTCCCTGTTCATTCATACTGCAGATCTCCTTAGTGCTCCAAGAAATGAAACTGATGACGTGTTTAATCATTCTCCTTCCATTGTTTTGGATAGGCATTACGAAAAGTAATTATTTGGGGGGGGGAAGAATATTTGAAAGATCATGGTAAGACAGTGGCAATCATTTTCTCAACACGATCATGCAAACGTGTGATTATTTGACAACTACTTCATGAGGCTTACTAATGCCCTTATAGCCACTAGGCCATGAGCTTGGGTTGCAGAAATGAGCACTGCCAGAGTGTCTCTGCCACTGAGGAGCTAATTGGCTTATAAGGAAGACATCATCAAATATTAACATGAAAATAAGAAGAGCCAAGCATGATCATTGCCACAAAGAAGACTTGTGGTGACATTAAAGGAGTATTAAGCGTATTAAGGGTGGTATTAAGGGTGTATAATAAGGGAGACCTAGAGGAGGTCTGAGGAGATGATAGTTTAGTACAGAAGTATAATGTTGGCACCACCTACATTATACTGGTATAATGTATAAGGTATAAGGTACTGGCATAAGGTATAGTGGGAAGAGGAGAGGTTCACAGGGGGTGGCAAAAGACCAGAGATGTTCAGGAAGAGGGGCTCTGGTGAAGATGCTGTTACCTGATGTTGATCATCAGTTTCTCTAGACTTGCCATTAGAGGCTGTCACATACAGGCACACAATGACTGCCTAGGGTAAACTTTTCTATTCTGCCTATAGATCCTTCATGCTTGTAAAGTCTTCCTGCAAAGTCGCCCTCTACATTTTGACATGTCTGGAACCAAGCAGGTGGCTATAACCTTTACTGCTTAATGAACCCAAATCTGTATTTTAAGAGTCATAAATATTATAGTTAAGCAAGTAAGAATTAAATTTTCATGTTATCTTGCTTGGTTGCTGGACATCTGGCACCAATAATTTATCTTGTCTTCTGCAGGAAATTGAAACCTGCTTAGTTTTTATTATACTGGCATAAATATGTTACAAATTACATTTTCACATTGCCATTACTTTTATTTTGGGGTACGCAAATTATTGGGTCATCCATTTACTTTGGCATTTAGTAATTCTCTCTCACTGTAAAATTTTGTTTTCTTTGCTTCGTGTTTGCTAAAAAAACCCACCCACATTAACTGCAGAAAACATTTCAGCCCATACTGAAATTTGCTTCATGGATGACTCATGTTGTCACACACCAGCTTCCATAATATTCTCCTGAAAAAATGTTTCATCTCAGTTTCCAGTGTTAATGTAAAAAAGTAAGAAGAGTTTTGATCTGACTTGAGCCAGCAGGAGTAAGCCCCCTGTTCAACTGAATGTGAATGTGTATCAACTAAGCAGCTCTGATTTTGAATTTTGACTCTGCTATCACCTGGCTATGAGTGTTCTGGACAGTGTTACAGGTGGTCAAAGGGGACCTTGGGCAACTCAGAGGGAGCATCCTGTGGTGGCCCACCAGAGAGGTATTCCGAACACACCCTTTCTGTGATATGACTTAGGCTGTATTTTTTGGCTGCCTGACCTACCTAACTCCTGCTTATTTTCGAAACCCAGATTTCCTAGCCTCCTTAATAATTCTGTGGGTAATCTACTGGTTTCCCAATCAACTCCCTTTCCTGCCAGTCAGCCAAGTTGGCTTCTGTTGCTTGCATTGGGTGATTTCAATCTTATCCACTGCCCTACCCTTGACCTTAGCTTCCAAGGTCATGAACTCTTCAAGCACTATTTCTAGGATTACACTTCAAAGTTATTTTTGCCTAGTTTTCAAAATTTCTTCTTCAAAGTGATCAATGTTTTTCATTGTTCTTTGATATCCTTCATGATTCTATTAAAAGTGTTTTATGTTAACAACGTGGAATCTTATTCCTCTGGTCACCCTCTTTTTCTTTGTTTTCACCTTTGCAACCCCTAAATTTTACTGGCTTATTTGTTCTTCTAATCTATATTCATTTCTCCTTAAGAACTGTGCCATTTAGTAAGTTTTTATTATGCACAAACTATGTGCCAGATATTATGTTAGGGACAAGGATCCACAGATAAGTAAAATAAATGAATAAAAGGTAAAGTAGATTCATGCGAAGACAGGTGACATAAACAATCACACTTCTCAAAGCAATGAAAGTATTCAAGCTGTGGAAAGCTGGGAATCTGATTCTCTATGACATCTGTCTCTACAGCAGTGAGACTCATTTATTCTACCTGCTTTAATGTGCCCCCAGTTGGTGCCGGGCACTGGGTAGAGCCAGAGTCTTGGTATCCTCTCCTTATTTCTCTCCCATCTTTTTGAAAGTGTGAACCTATCTATATTCCTGTGTGGACATGTGTAACAACACTTACTTAATAATACCAGAACAGCTGAAGGGGCAGCCTGGAATGTACAGCCAGAGTTGACATCAGGCTGCTCTGTTTGATGTGACTCCAGGTATGGTTATCTTTGAACTACTTTTTTTTTTTTTTCCTGATTTGTGTTACTGCTTCTCCAGAACACCATGCTGGCACATTCTCTCCCTCCCATTCTCACTGCTGCCTCTAATCCATCATTATAAAGAGAGGCCTTAAAAATGGCACTCGAGGGAGACATCATTTCCTTTCCATTTCTCTCCAGAAAGAGCAACTTATAATGGGAGGGGGGAATTGCATTTAGGTTACAGGAATATAAACAACAGGAAAGAATCTGCTGCTTTCTCCTTTGAAGCCTCAAAAGGACTCTTGCTTTTAAAAAAGGCCAATCACCTCTTGGCCTTCTCTAAACATTAAAATTATATACCTGGTAATAAAGCCAGAGGATTTTAGTGAGCACTATGAAAGGAAAAGGGTGATTGAGACAGGGTTTTCAGGTGAATGGGACTCATAGGCTCATAAATAGCCCTTGTGAATTTAGACTTGTGGTTAGCTAGTACTTTAAATTTATGATTCCTCAGATTATAAGGGTTGACAGGGGAGTTATTGACTTTTTCTTGGATAAGACTGCAGTGCTCTAAAGTATTACTTGAGAAGAGGAAGGACCAACAGAATTAGGTTAAAAGATTCCTGGCATATGAATATCAGACATGAGCAGTGACTAAGAAAACAGAACAGGAAAAACACCATTTTCTCCCTTCAAAAATTACTTTTGCCACTTCAAACAACCCTGTGATTTTTACTAGTCAAACAAATTGACTAATAAATTGAATGCACAGAATTTCCTTCAGCCTCACCCCTCCCACCCCCTGCATTTAACCGGAGTCAAATGGTTACTTAACCAGTGATTATCTATTAGCCATAGGTTAATCATTTTAATATTAGTGTAAGAGCAGAAAATCTGATTTTTTTTAAGTTCTTTAGGTGCACACAATCCGATTTTTCTTCAGTCTAGTACCTGATTAGCTATTTACATTAGGAGATGGCTGGCCTCCCTGGTGTCACAAAGGGTTAAGTTTCAGCACTACCACCCACCAATCCGCAGCCCCTGCAGCCCAGCTTCAATCCCAGATCCTGGCCAGGGAGCTGACCCACATGGCACAGCAGACCTCTTCTGTCTCTGCTGCTGCTCCCCTCAGCAGTATATGTCAGTCAATCTGCCTGTTCAGCTCCCCACTCTGTCTCTAATGAATTCTTTCACCCCCTCCTCTCTACACATCTGGCATACACCCCAGCTCTTATATACATAAATAAATAAAATAACTCTTTTTTAAAAAATGAGGAAATGGCTAAGAAAAGCCTCCTAGTGCTCTGATGAAGCACTAGGTAACCTCCCAGTGGCTTCAGACACCATGTCCTTTCATTTTTTTGACACCTCAGACTTGAAGCTTTCTTCTCAGACTTCTCACAGAGAAGGAAGCTGCTCACTGGCTGCGGACAAGAGCTATAGTAAGATCCCTTCTAACTCAGGGATTTCCAAAGAGCCAAAGATAATATTCCTCTCTGAGGAAGGAAGGACATGCCCAAGTCACATGATCCCTCTCTTTCTTTGTAATGTGACGCGACAGCTTGAATTCAGAAGGAGGCTTCACAATTAGGAGATCCAAGCACAGCATCTGTGCTAACAGCTCCCTTCTTTGCTCTAATTAGGATTCCCTTATTCCATTTCTATTTCTCGGCAGAGGACAGGGGACTTTTTAATTGGGGCTATTAGAAGTTCTCTTCACACAATGGAACCCTCTACTAAGTGAAGGCTCCGGCAATATCTATGCCCACTCTGCAATTACTTCTTGCAATTCTGAGAAATAATGGTATCTTGTCTCATTTAAAAATAAATCTGAGGCTTATTCCTTATTGCCTTCTTTCCTCTCCCTACTCCCATAAATTTCTTCTTGCCAATTGAGCAAACTTTCCATTATTTAAGGAGGTAGTTTTGATCATAACTGTCCCCTGGTAATAAGACATATTTAACTGGATTTCACATGCCCAGAGCTCCTTTCTTCAGATACAGGCTAATTTAAATGAGATCACGTCTCTTGATCGTGAATGAGTTCACTCTACAGTGAAAGGATGGAGCTTTAGGGTTTCCTAAGTGGTGTTCTGTTTACATTGTCACAGATCTCACCTGAAACAACCCGCACATTCAATGTTTGAAGTTTCTCAGAATCACTTCCTCTTAAGAGAACACATGTAGAGTGGTATTTATGACCTATTCCAAGAAAAGAAATTAAATATTTATATGATAAGCACGTACATTCTTAATATATATTCCCTGGCTTGGCTCTAAAGGTTACTAGGACAAATGGGCCAGTGACAGCTCTGGAACCTGCAATAACTGGACATGAAAAGCTTTTTCTTATTACATTATTTTCCATGAACAAACACAGGTTCTTTCTATATAAAACTAATGGCTTCTTCATGCCTGTGAATGCCATTGTGCCTTGTCTTTAACAAATAACCCCAGCTCTGATGACCAGATATTACATTATTTATGTCATGTATACATAGATATGATACACAAGATACTTACTGCCTATTAATATTTAAAAAGATTTAATGTCCTAAATAGGATGACATTTTTCATTCCCTTATATGCTTGGATTTATAAGATGAACCTTTGAAAGCCACCAAGCCTGTCATATGGATAGATGTTCATAAGGACTTAAGGTCACTCCCCACTACTGGTCTCTTTCTAGACATTTTTTTCTGCTGGCTTTTATCTCTCTTTCTTACTATGTAATTATATTCTAAAAATGGATCCAGAAACTCACAACCATCACATTTATTTAAGAGAATATAATTGTCAAACTTGAAAGACCCTGGTTGGTGTTAACTACGATATTTTATTAACTCTATAACTGGGCAAAACATGAGCCTCCTCTGACACTCAGTTGGTGGTTTTTTGTTTTTTGGTTTTTTTCTAATGTATGAAATGAAAATAATAGACCTCACCCTATTTACAAACTGTGAAAATCTAGAAAAAACTTGTGAAAGTTCTCTGAAAATGGTTATTCTATAAATATAGAATATATTTTGAGCCCACCTGGCTCCAAAGCTTATTCTCATACTGACACACTTTACCTGCCTTTAGGAGACCACTACCCATACTCTGAAGTCTTCCAAAGGCTTGTCAGTGTGTGCACAGGGGAACACCCAGATCCCTGTCCATTTCGATAGGCAAATGCCTGTATTTTAACAGCTGTTAGATATTTTTAATATTGTCTCTGCTGTGGGAGCTTAGATTATTCTGTCTTTGCCTTGACTTTTCTGAGCCCTTCACCCAGAGTAAAAAAGGGAAAGTTTGAAATAAGGAAGCTCTCAGGGCAAAAGTCCTCATATGAGGAACTAAAACAGCATGTGTTGAAATCAGCAATGTTCTACTTCGATTAGCAAAAACCCTGAGGCCTGTGCTGACTCTCCCTGATCTCCCAGTCTAGACTTTGACTTTTTAATCTTCCACTTAATTCTAAACAAATATGAGACTGTCCTTGGAATGGGGCTGCACTTTGATTCACACAGCTTGGGGGGGGGGGGGTTCCCTCATTGTTCCAACTCACTTTTGTCCCAAGCCATGTATCCTAACAAGACACCCTGAACATCTTGATTTCAATTACACATTTTTGCTCTGCCTAGCCAAATTCTACTGACTCCTTTTAAAGACTGAGTCTCACTTACTCACCACCTAAAGTTACTCTGCTCAAAGTCTAACTCTGAAATTCTGCATTACTAATCTCCACTCCACTTCCTCTCTTGAACCCCACTTCCAGGAAGCCCAGGCTCAAACGCCAGTCCATCAACTCTTTCAGTCCTCACAGTCTTTCGCTCCCTTCCTACTCACTTGTCTGGGTAGGAGAAAGTCACATGGAAGCCCAGGAGTCCTGGCACTATGTAGCATTTATCTTCATGTTCTCCGGATTACCGAGAATCACCACTTACACACAGTAAATGTTCAATAAATGGTAATATGAATTTAAAAACAATTTAAATCTGTAATTGAGACACTGAAGGTATTATCCCAATAACCCATTTTTTTCTCAATACTCACTTTGCCACTTCTTCGCCCTCCTGTGACCTTCAAGTATTTTGTGGATAATGACGATGAACAAAAATATAAAAACTGATAGGACTAATGCATACCAAGTGATTTTCATGAAACAAATGAAATCTGCAAGGGAAAAAATACTATAAAGATACAAGAAAAGTGAAGCAACAGATAAGAGGCTATGTGGTGGTGGAGAGGGGTTCTATTTTATATTCCATCCACTTGCCAATAGTTGCATTTTTTGTTTTATAAATAATAATAACCATCCTAATGGATGTAAGTTTACGTTGTTCTTATCCACACAGATTCAAATTGAATCAGTTTGTGAATGCGCCCCAATGTATATTCATTTCCTTTTTTTTCTCATATAAAATCTGAAACAGTTTTTAGCACCCTCCCTGGTGTCACAAGGGGATAAAGCACAGCACTATGAAGCTTTCCATAGTCACTGCAGCATGAGTTCAATCCCCAGCCAGGGAGGAGACACACATGATGTGTCAGACCTCTTCTGTCCTGCCTGCTGCTCCCCTGAGCAGTGTATTTCAGTTGATTTGCCTGTTCTGCTCCCCACTCTGTATCTGGTGAATCTTCCCACCCACCCCACCCTACCCTACCCCCACTCACTTCTGGCTTGTATTCCAGTTCTTGTATGATAAATAAATAAATCATTTTAAAAAATTTTTAACTCAGGATAGTGTGACTAGGAAGCTAATAAACAGAATTAAGATATGTATAGGTTTGTCTTTCAGGCTTATACTTCTTCATTTATTCAGTGACACCCCTAATCGCCACCCCATCTATCTCAGAGTATTTCATCAAAAGTTCCATTAATCCAGGCCTAGACCTTAGCTCTGAGATAACATATCAATTCAGTATGTAATTAGTAGCACATCATAGTGCACATGGGATTTATTTTTATATTTTAAAATATATCTCAACCTTAATGCCCAAGCCCGCAGGCATGTCCAGTATTCTGGGACACAGAGCCTTTCTAGTGATCTTCAAATCACAACCATAAATGGTTCATTTGATCCCATGAAAAACCTATTTTGAAAAAAATTAAACAGATAAAAGAATTAATATTCTTTCCATCCATATTATATTTCGTCAGTAAATTTCTCCATTTGACTTGCAGTAAAGTTAGTATGGTAGCTCTTATTTATTTAATTTTGTGTCTGTGTCCAATCTTCTTTTCCTTCTAATTTCCTTTAAGGCTTACTTTTTGATGAAATCTTGATAACATGGATGTACCTAGAGAGTATTCTGCTTAGTGAAATAGGTCGGGAAGACCAGTCCCTTGTATGTGGTATGTAGGGAAACCAAATGAGTTAATTAATTAAATAAACATGAAGATATACTTTCAACTATAAGACCAAATTAGTAGTTATCAGGAATGGAGAGGATTGGAAAGAGTAGGTAAATCAGGCAAAAAAAAAAAAGTCAATTCTATGGTCAAGGATAGCATTGGATTTTTCAGTGGTGAATTTAATGGAGTATACATACATGTTGACTCGTAATGGATGCACCTGAAACTTACATAATGTTACAATGTAATATTACTTCAGCAAGAATTTTTAAATTTTAAATAATACTTACTTTTTGCATCCACTTCTAGGTGCAAAGAAATGTGTATACAATTATTTGGGTCTTCTTTAATTCTGTAAGTATGATTTCCAGACTTTTCCTGTAGGGAGGAAAAGTCTGCAACTTCCTCTAAGATTGCTGACATTTTAGTCTGGCTGTTTAGATGGCAGGTAAAGTTATAGTCCTCTAAGTAGTCAGCCATAGGAGGTACAATAAAACTGAAGTGTTGACAAGGTGAGTGAAAATCATTTTCTTTCTCTTCCATTGATCCTCTCATGACAAGAACTGGAAAGGTTTAAGAAATATAATTTGCAAAATACTAGTACATAGTAAGAAAATAGGTGTAACTCAAAACTAAACCTCCTCATTACTAACTTTTTTTAAAGTAGAAGCAAGATATAAACTAAACTAATAATAATGATTAAAGTGCTTACAGTATTTAAGATTATGAAAAGAAAGTAAAGGTCAAATTGAAATCAAGTTGGATCCTCTCTGAGAAAATTCAGACGTCCCCTGCGACTGGTGACACAGGCTATTTGCAAAGCGGTCTCAGCATTCCATATTGCAATTTGCCTAGAGTCATTGCCAAGAAATCTAATCTCAATTTTGAAGAATATAAAATAATGCTGTGGTTGGCCCTCCCTGGTGGCGCAGCTAGTTAAAGCACCGCACTGAGATCCCTGCCCTGGGAGGTGACCACATGGGGCAGCAGACCTCTCCTGGCCCGCCCCGCTGCTCCCCTAAGCAGTGTACTTCCTCGATCTGCCTGTTCTGCTCCCCACTCTGTCTCTGGTGAGGCCTCTCACCGACCCTGAGCCTCTGGCCTGTACCCCAGTTCTGTATGCACAAATAAATAAATCTTAAAAAAAATTTTTTTTTAAATAAAATAAAATAATGCTGTGCTTTAACTCATTGCACCACCAGGGAGGGTCTATAGTTGTTTTTTAATTTACTATCTTTGAAGAGAGCTGCTTACTGTCCTTTAACCATCAAGTATTGTAAATTATAGCAGAATGTTGATGTATTTAAGAATAGGATATTTTGTTTTTAGTAAATCAAAGTGAACCAAAAATGAATGCTATCCCAAATTCCAAAAGTAAGTCTCCCTAAAGAGTGAAGAGAACCAAGTATCCAGAGCTACTGGCCTTGAAATGAAATAGATTATTAATACTTTCCTTAACAGAATAAAGTGATTTTCATTGATAAATCTTATTCTCTTTCCCTTTGATTTTACCTTTTGATGTTTGTTCCTGAGAAGTGAAGTTTATGCTTTCTTTGGTCTCACAAACCAAACAGGAGCAGCACATGTTAAATTCACGTGTGATGTCTTGGCAAAGCCTGGTGAAGTTTTCAAAGTTGGATTGATTTAGAAAGACTCCCAGAATAGTCTGGTTTTCCCTTGGTGGTTTCAGAAAAGCCACCAAAGAAAAATTGAAAGGGAATGAATAGGTGAAAATAGGTTGTAAACACACTTCCAGACATGATAACTCCAATGTGTTTCCTGTAAAGAAGAAGAAAAAAAAAAACTTTTGTTTCCTGTGAAATTTTGAAGTTTTGTCATTCAAATAAGTATACAATTAGCTCCCAATTTTCTTAGATGAATTATTACATTTCAGTGTATCAATGGTAAGATTATTTCTACATGAATTAACAATATTTAAAATGACTCTTTAAAATTTATCAGCATTCCTTAGTTTTCAGAGAACAGAAGTCCCTGAAGACAAGTGCTTAGAAACCCTGGTATTTAACCATCTTATTTTCTGGCAAAATCTTAATGATCAAAACTTAGGTTCCGCTAAATCTTTTCTTCTGAATGCACCTTTTCCAAACTAGAGGTTCTGTCCTTTGCATGGAATACAAAACTTGGACAGTATCTCTGTTTTTGTAACCTAGAACTGCTTTTACAAATTACCATAACCTGGGTGACTTAAAACAAGAGAAACTTAAAAGAGAGAGAGAGAGAGATCTCATCAGCAAAAGAGATAAATACTCTAGATCCTGCTGACCTCTTGGGTTGCAGCAACATAAAATGGCATCATACATATGAAAACACCTTTTAAAAAAAGATTTATTTGCTTAGGCATACAAAAATGGGGTACAGGCCAGAGATTCGGTGCGAGGGGACTAGCCAGAGACAGAGTGGGGAATAAAACAGGCAGATTGACTGAAACACATTGCAGAGGGGAGCAGCAGGCAAGACTGGAGAGGTCTGCTGCACCAGATGGGTCAGCTCCCTGGCCAGGGGTCAAACTCATGCTTGTGGCTGCAGATAGCTCCACAGTGCAGCATTTTAGCACTTTGCACCACCAGGAGGGCCCTGAAAACACTTTAAAAATGTGTATATACACACACACACAAAAAGTGTATACATGTGAATTATTGAAAAGTCAAACTCATATTCCAAAGTTAAAATTCAAAGTTCATTCTTCACTTAGTACAAGATTATCTATGATTTAATTCACACAAATAATTAAAACCCACTATAAAAAAAATTGGGAATTCCTGTTTAGCAGCAATAATCAACTAACGAATCGGAAACTTCCCTATTCCCAGTCAGACAGTCACTTGTTAAGCAAGAGAAAATAATTGAAATGTTCAATTTCACCTTTATGTGGCTTTCCCTACCATCATTTGTATGATAAACATATATTTTTTTAAATTTCTAAATAATGGAAATATAATAAAACAATGACTTCATTTTTTAGAATGATTATTCCCAGTCATGTTTTGGTGCAAACTTAAATAAAACTCTAGGTACCGATTGATAATAAAACTTTTTTTAGTTTGTGGATTTTTTGCATTAATAGTAATTCTCTAGTGTTTAATTATTAATTATTATATTTCTAATATTTAACATCCTTCTACATTTTAAATCTCTTCTACAATAACTCACATGTGATTTGTAGCTTTAAAAAAATTATATTTGAGGCCCTCCCTGGTGGCGCAGCGGGTTAAAGCACAGCACTGAGAAGCTAAAGCCACTTCCTCATGAGTTCGATTCCTGCCTGCCCCGGAGGTGACCACATGGTGCGGCAGACCTCTCCTGACCCACCTGCTGCTCCCCTCAGCAGTGTACTTCGTCGATCTGCCTGTTCTGTTCCCCACTCTGTCTCTGGTGAAGCCTCTCACCACCCCTGAGTCTCTGGCCTGTACCCCAGTTCTGTATGTACAAATAAATAAATCTTTAAAAAAAATCATATTTGAGTTGTTATAAAGGTGCTTAGGTGAAGGGAGAACTGGAATTTTACTCAAATATGTTATTCTGCAATGCTAGTAGATTTATAAACAAAGTTGTAATCAAATTATAACTGCTTTTTTAAAAGACTTCCTAAAATAATAAAGTTCCAGGAAGAAGAAATGCACAATCTACTGGAACTCTATACTGTTTAATTTTTTATATATTATTAAAAGACATGAAACACATTCCTTGCCATCTTTCCATTTTCCTCACACTGACATTTATCATTTTATGGGATTTTCATCTTCTGTAATTTATATTCATACAATGTGACCTAAAAGGGAGGTAGAGAAATGTTTATAGTCAGCACTACAATGTTCTTATCTAAAAAGCTGGGCTTTCTAGAGTTAATGATGTACCCTTGATATTTGACTGTGAGGTCGGTTTTTTGGATGACTTTTAAATCTTAGCTTTAAATAATCCAATCAGAAAAGAAATCGAGGACCTATCCTTATCTGGTATAATTTTAAGAAATAAGTGAATTCTACTGAATCCTTTTTGTTATGAGAGCGACTAAATTCTCACCTCCATAAACAAGAATTTATTAATTTAAACATTGCCATTAGTATTGCTGTGGGCCAGACAGCTAAATTCTCACTCCCAGAGGTAGAAATGTTCCAGAATTATTCTAGTTCAACTACGTATGTTTCAGTTTTTAACGTTTTACCACATTTTTAGTTATTTTGTACCAAGAGTATTCTTCAAGTATGACTGCAAGAACAAGTCTCAACTACCTGTTGGCCTTTATAAATAAATGAAAATGTATAATAATCCCTCTGTTGTTTGACATACAGTAGGAGCTCCAGAAACAACTCTCTGTCAAATGATATTTTCTCATTACTTCAGTTGGTACTTTGTTAACCAGTTGTCAGAACTTTGGCAAAGGCATTTCGGATGATAATATTTCAGATATCAAACATAAACAAGAGAAAATAAGAAAATTTTGTCATTAGAAATATAGCTGATATGACTTTTTTGGAGAAGTACTTGGAGTTTCTTGTAAGATTAAATATATTCAACTATTCCACCACTAGTTACCCAATGGTAATGAAAACATGTTCACACAAAGATACAAGAATGTTCATGACAGCCTATTTATAAAAGCTCAAAACTGGAAACAACCCAAGGAACGAATGGACAGATGTGCTGCATATTTTCAATGGACGACTTAGCAATAAAAAGAAAAAAAAAAAAACTGCTGATACACTCAATAACATAGTTGAATCTCAGAAACATTTTGCTCAGCTAAAGAAGTCAGACCAAAAATATATTTGTGTGATGCTTCCATTTATATGAAGAAGGACAAAATCACAGTGACACTGCTTAAGAAAATAAGCAGCCTTGGGCATGGGAGGAGATTTGACTGGAGAGGGCAGGAAATTATCCTGGGAGTGCTGAAAGCCTGTATCTTCTGTGGGGTGCGATCCCAAAGTGGGTACCACTGTCAAAATCCATCACTATAAATACTGAAGAGGTTGCCATTCTATTGTGTGTAAATTAAGCCTTTAAAAAAAGTCAGAGCCAAAGCATAGCATACCCAAGTGTTTCTAAAGATCTTTTTCATCGTGACTGGCTATTTTGTAGCATGATTCAGCAATTTAAAATATAAGTGGCAGGAGGTGTTCTGCCTCTGAATCACATGCAGTGTTGTAAACCAGCTCCTTTGATAAAATTAAATTAAATTAAAAGTTGTCAGGATAGGAAAGAGCTGTGGTTTAGCTTCCGATTTTTAGACATTGGTTAACATGTTGCTTCCCTTTAGTCACAGGTCTGCCTCTGTAAAGGAGTTAAAAAAAAAAGAATATCAATTTCAACAGCTCAATCATGGTTCCATTTTCAATGCAGCAGTTAAAAATTTAGTGGGAAAGGGGGGACATGTTACATATGGATGCTACATCCATGAAGTTTGCCCGATCCGGAATAGGAAGTCTGGAGAGGATATGTATTCACTTATAGAATTTGGGAAAGACCACTTAAAATGTGTCTGGGGTAAAAAAGCCAAGTTTGCGATTACTTCTAACTTGTGGTAGCAGCCTATGAATGGCCAGTTTGGGACATAAGAAAAAAGATTGTTGGTTTTAGTTATCAAAATAAGGGAAACAAATGCCTATTATGAAATTCTCCAGGAAGAAAAATAGTAAGAAAATGACTCAAGGTAAAGAGACTTGTAACTTTAAGTTAAAGTTTTACAGACTACACAACCTAAAAGTTTTAGGTTTATGATAAAAATCTTGTTACAAAAATCTAAGAGGAAGATAATATCTGGCCTACTTAAAAATGATGATTGTGAGGAGCAGATGAGAAATTCTTCCTTCAGTAGTATTTTCTTTTAACTTCAAGATGGCTCAGAAAATTCACACAGTCAACATGCATTGAGTGCTTTTTAATGTGACAGGTATTATTATGAGTGCTTAAAATATGAATAAAACAAGCAAAACTTCATTTTCATTGGCTAACATTCTATTTGGGAAATAGAAACAAAAATATACAGACAAAAATATACACACAATAAATATGTAAACCATATCAATAATAAGTGAAAGAAGACCACATTAATGTTTCAGAGAAAGTAATTTTTTCTAAGAAAACACAACAGGTATCAAACTGATCATCTACCTACCAATGCAATGAAACAAAGTATCCCAAGCAAAGGTTAATGGCATTGTAACCTAGCAGAGGAAGCAAATTCTACCAGAGTGGTGAAAAGCATTACATATTACCTGCAGCAGTGTTTTTTTGCCAGCCCATCTAAATATATATGTAAAAATATTTGTATGCACTTGTGCCACCCTGGTGGTACAAGAGGCTAAATCTCAGCACCATGAAGCTATCAGCAGCCACTGCAGCACAAGTTCAATCCCCAGCCAGCGAAGTGGCCCAGATGGCGCAGCAGACCTCTCATGTCCCACCCACTGCTCCCCTCAGCAGTGTATTTCAATAAATCTGCCTGATCTGCTCCCCACTCTGGTGAATCCTCTCACACATACACACACCCCAACCCCTCATCTCTAGTCTATACCTCAGCTCTTATATGCATAGGCAATAAAATAAATCATAAATAAAAAATTTTGTATATACTTAAAAATAAATTGTATATGTCGGTGGCCATCTTAAAACTGATACAGATAGTTCAGTGAGCGGGAAAATCTTAGAACAAGAAAATTTATTCCTCTACTTTGATTTCTTCTCTTAGATGATTTTCCAAATAATTTCTCTTAAGAAGTATGTTTCATTATGAATGAGCTGAAATAGTCAGTGTGTTAAGGTGAGTTTTATTTTATGTAAAATAGTTGGCTTGGTACCTGGTCCATGCATAAGTACTTATTAAATTAATGTTTCATTAAATAGTCATAAAACCATATCTCACACCTTATTGGAGACTTAATTAAAATATGAATGAGTCAGTCAGTAAGAAAACAAATTGTCCATTTTTGAAAATGAAGAGAATATCGCTGAGTAAGTTGACTACTGTTCACTTTGATTAACAGCGTCCTTCATGATAGAAACACAAATAATGTGTAAATGTACTCACATGCTGGGTTTATCTTACAATTTATAAGTATTTTAAATTCCTTTATCCATTGTTTCCTTCCATTTCACTGTTCGTTATATTATCTTTCCATCAGAAAGTGTGAAATAGAAAGGAAGTGAAAGCTAGTAAACATAGTTTATGTCAGTTGGCTCTTAAAAGTGAGGAAGTCAAAACAGCCAGATAAAATTAGGCTGGAGGTGTTTTCATCTGTGCTATTCCTGTCCTGTTTTGCCACAAATCTCTTGTGTACTCTCTGCAATTTCTGGTTTCGAGAACTTCCTAGGTATTAATATGAGCACGTCTTATTTGAAATCAGTAATTTTTTATAAAGTAATTCTACAGGCATGTGAAGAAGTGATCATTAGAACTGACCTTTACTACTTCTCTTTGCAAATGAAAATGTATGGAACGTCCTGACCAGAGATGCCTGGAAGCCACATCTACGTGCCCATCCCATTTTTCTACATTGCTATTTTAGTGATCATAGTATTGTCTTTAATTATTTTTCAGAGAGCCTTGTCCCTGACCTAAAACTTCTTGAAGGAAGAAAGACTTTTCTTTCATTTTTTGCAGTCCATTTCTAGCAGAGATAAACGTTACACATAAGTGAAAAAATAAATAAGAACGCTAAGATATATTAATACATGAGTTAACCAGCTCGCTCTCTCTTACCTACTTTTAACCACTGGTAAAATGTCTTATCTGGAAGCAACCCAGCTCCCTGAATTACAAGATACTCTAATCAAGGTATATCCAATCCTTTATCTACATGCAATGTCAGTGTATGAAACCATTCTATTAACTACATACCTTCATGTAAGCTACCTTTAAATAAACTGGAAGTTAGAGTAAGCTGTTATACCATGTGTACCCAAAGTAAACTCATTACAAGTTGCAAACCACCAGTGAAAAGTTGCCCTTCCTTAGTAAAGTTAGACTAAATAGCTTATATTGTATAATTATGGTAATTGAATATTCCAGCTAATGATTATTCAGACTCAAATACATTCTTGATGAAAAATGATCAAACACAGTGCTCTATTTTTAACTTGGGCCTTCAGAGAGTTTATTATTTTGAAATCAAATCTATTAAACCTCATGAATACATTCCTGCTCATTCAGATTCCCTTGGAATTCGTTTGACATGTTAAAGATAGGGTTATCAGTGAATAATTTATAGCAAAAATCAATTTATAATATTTATCTTAGAAATTAAAGAGAATAGGACATAAGAAAAAAAATTTAAAAAGACACAAGGAAGTGACTGGAGGGTAAGACTATATAGGAAAATCTCAAGGTTAACGTTAAAACCATCTTAATTTATCATCTAATTTTACCAGACATTGAGCTAGTAAAATTCTAGATATATGAAATACACTCATTTCATAAGGCAACTATTATTATGATAAAAAATTATGGAAATATAAAAACAACTTATCTTAGTTTGACCATTTTGATATATAACATATAAAAAGAGACTCTTGGAACTTGCTCTTAGTAATCCATAAGTCATTATAAAATTCAAAGCATTCTGATTACACTAATTCAATGAAATGCCTGATTATTAGCATTTCATTTATGGTGGCACAGTGAAAATTCAAACACAAAATGACATAAGAATTAGATGGAGGTTTTCAAACAGTGTTGCTTGTTGACCCCAAGGAGTATCCCTTTAAAGCAAAGTATCCAAGTACATCCACCACCCCCAAAACATCTGAGGTGTTGTAGAACCAGTAAAAGAGAAATCGCTATTTTAAGTTTGGGGTTGGGGAGCTACGACAGCATTTGGGAACCTCTATGTCTAATTAGTTCATTATTGTCAAGGGACATATGCCTAAAAAAGAAAAATTTTAATAAGCTTCTGTAGTCACCAGTTCACATGAAACACTAACCAATAGTTAGCAAATAGTTTATTTATTGCTCTTCAAACTAGTTACTTAGCTTTTAATTCCAATCTGTGTTTTTGGAGGTGTTAGATACATTTATATGAAGTACTTAGCAACTAACTGAGCTTACTCTCAACCCAGAATAGATTATCTGTATGCCAATTTTAGCTTTTCTCTTTATATTTTCAGTCATGAAATCAAGGATAAAAAATATGTGCTGTGATTGCTTAATCCAAGCAACATAATGCCAGGAAGCCAAGAGAAATTTGAAAATTTCAGTTGTTCACAAAAGTTCAGCCATAGTGTCAATTTATCAAAAATATTTTTATCTGGCAACTTAGCACTATGTAGATCCAACATTAAAATACTCATCAAATATAATTAGCAAAGATATTCTTATTTGGTTATTTTAGCATCATGTATATGTAACAATAACCACTGAAGCAACTCAGCAAATATAATCTTTTTTCTGATTTTAATCAAAACAACACTAACTTTTAAATAATAAAGTACAGCATTTTCCTCTTGCTTCTTCTTATTATTAAATACTAGGGAACACAATTATCATCCAAACAAAATATCTTCAAAATTTTAACTGACATATAAAAATAGTTTTAATTTATACCTGCTTATTTTTCTAGCCCAGGTTTCAACAATCATATTTTTTGGAAATAAACCTAGTTAACTTTGTTATATTTTTCTCCAGTTTCAAATATATACATACATATACCTGCTAAAATTTGCACTCATTTAATTTCATTGTTTTTAACACAATATCTAATGACTCACTTTTCAAATTATGACAATGAATTATTTGGATAAATTCAAATTGTAGTGGAGGAAATTCAAGCAGTTTCAGCATAATAAATGTTAACTTTCTTTCTAAAGTAATTCCAGAACGTAAAAGTATACTCAAAACTGAAAGAAACTGTCTCAAGAAGTATAAGCATGTACTGAAGTTACTATAAACTCCATGTTCGAAATCTAGACTCCAGATGTAAATATTTCTTTTTAGGGTTTCATTTCATTACTGTCTGCAGCACAATTAAATACAATGAATAAGGTTACTGTGTGATGTAGCAATCAACTAAAATTGCAATTTCATTTTATTAGTTTTTCCAATCAAGAACTTCAGTCCGTGTAGCATGTATCCAGAAAGAGGGCCTTTCTTGTAACCATTAGCTGATCTAATTTTTTTAACTAGAAAAAGAAAAGGTAAATTATACACTCACCTTTTGGTGTCTTGAAATATTCTGGCAAAATTAAAGTGAATGTGATCACTACTGCCAGAAGGAATTTAAGAAGGACTGTTTTGGTCATGTCTATTTCACATGACACAATGCGTTCCCATCAAGTGCCCTGGTGGCACGTTTCTTCCTGCTTTAAATATCATCTCGGCAGCGCTGTTGGTCTCTGTAGTGTAGACATACTCACTTCCTTTTGAGTAAGATTTAAAAAAAAAAAAAAAAAGGGCCTTGAACCGAGACTTCATTTTGAGTCACTTTCCATTAAGAAAACTGCCTTCTAAAAAATACTTTTGAACGATCTTCTAAATGAGATAAGTGATCTTCTAAATAAGACAAAAAAAGGGGGGGGAGGGGGCTTGTTTTTATCTACAAGTGAAACTATTTTCCCATGTTTGACCTGTGTGAGTTAAGTAGAAACCCGAAATATATTCAATGAAAATAAAATAATCACAGCCAGTTGCGTCCGGGCTGCATACACATCATTCATTCGTTTATTTCTTAAGACACTGTGGACTCCTTTTTAAAAACCAGACGCTCTGCAGGTCTGGTGCTCTGCATTTCTAGACAACAGCAAACAGTGTAAAACTAATGACACAAAGTTTGGGTTCCACTTTACTGTACAGAAGCAGTACAAGGAGACTTGTTAAAAAGAGGCGTATAAATGCTGTGATTATTGTTAGAGAATCCACATTTCATTTCCTATTGCAAAAAAAGATCTTTCACTATGATAATTCAGTGAAATAAAATACTTCGTTTTAGAGTATAAATGGAAGGAAGGGAAAATTTATGGTGAATGCAGAATATTTACAAATAAAATACTTTTATTCTTGTTCTTATTTTCTGATTTTAGGAGTTAAAGATGGGACCAACTAGTGCCATTTATTTTCTCTCTGCTCACTCACTCCGGCCCCCAGCATCTGTTCATGGCCGTGCATCCTATTCCTTGTTCTTACCCACATACCACTGGGCTTTAAGGAACAGTAGGCGCTTGTAGATTAGGAGGAAGGGAATTAAAGTGGTGCTGTAAGTATACTGTGAGTGGGAATGAACTGTCTACTGGTAGGTGTGGAACAGGCGGGTTAAGAGAATTTAGGACCTGGGTCTAAATTGGAGTAGGACATCAAACAAAAGACTTACTTTGTGAAAAGCATCAAGGATCATTCTGAGGAAGCAAGGATGACATAATGATCACAGCCGGCACTGCTGGCTGGACTACAAAGCATGCACACAGATCAGGCACCATCTTCAGTAGATTATGGACTTAAAAGTTTGATGCTAAGAAATACATTTCTGCATTATACTTATCATGCAGTATAAGTCACCCAAAAATTTATAGTGCAAAAGTTTATTCTTAAATACAGGATGTATTTGCTAGGTGATTTCGCGTACCTAGAAAATAAACTAACATAAAGAGCTTGGTCACCTAACACTAGAAGCTTCTGACTCTCTGATAACCTGTTTGAGAGAGCTGGTGGTCGGGGTGGTGGCTCACATTGTCATAGTTTCATTTTACACTTTCCAAAGCACCTTCACAAATATCAGGTTTTGAAAAGAGAATGACTATAAACCTGCAGTTACTCTTCCACTGTGGGTTTCTCCCTCCCACCTCAATAAATTATTAATAAAGGGCAAAACTGTGTTTGAAATCCGGAGAGTCTGTTGCAGACTTAATGCTGTCAACCACTATGAAGATATCTTCACCCTCACACTGAATGAGAACATCTGTCAAGAAGAGTCACATAAAATAATAATAATAATAACCACAAATACAGCTCTTTATAGGTGCAAGGCACTGTCTCAAGTCAGGATTTCAACTAAGTGGCACTACTGACATTTGGGGTCAGATAATTGTTGTCGTAGGGACAGTCCCATTGTAGAATGTTTAGCAGCAGATGCCAGTGACAACCTGCCCCGTCCCAGCTTTGGCAACAAGAGAAAATGTCTCCAGACACCACTGGAAGGCCCTGTGGGGACAGAATATCTCCCAGTTGAGAACCACTGCTCTAAACACTGCGTGTACATAAAGCCACTTAATCCTCCTAACAACAATCCTGTGATGTAGTTGCTATCATCATTTCCATTTCACTCACTTGAGACCAGTTCTAATCTAGGTAATCTCATCATCCAGAAAGTGAATTTAAAAGACAATCCTTAATGGGGATCAGCCCAGTGACTGCTAATTGTGTTACTGGCAGATAACACATCTCCTTTGACACACAGTAACACTTGGATGAACACATTTTGGGGGTCTGGTAGGGCAGGACTAATCTCTTATTAGTGAGGTCTGCCCAAGTACGGAGAGGATCTGGGGAAGTTCCAACATCCTCAATTATGTTGTGAGTGATTCAACAAATATTTACTGAACGCCTATACTATGGCAGGCAGGGCTCTGAACCCTGTGTGTGAAGTTGCAAATAAGGCAAAGTCCTCGCCCTCACAGACTAGTGGGAGTAGACATTTCCAGTGTCAGACAATTACAGAGAATGATGATAGCTTATGTTCAGATAATACTAAGTGTTGTGGAAAATAATAACGCAAAGCAGGTTATGCTGGCAGAGAGTCGGCACAGCACTTTTCGGTGTAATAAGGATGTTTAAGAAGGTCGTGTGTGTTTCCATTGATATGGCACAAGGGACTAGACAAAAGTACAGGGACAGAGAACAAAGCAGCCGTTGCCAGAGGCTGGAGGTGGAGGGAGGAGTTGAGTACTCGGATACTCGAGGGAATTCCTAGGACGGCAGTGCTCTGTGTCTTGATTATATCCAGAAGATGGTCGTGGCTATCTTCTGTGTAGTACCCATGTAACAGGGGGGTCCCTAGGAAAAAGGGAAGTTCCAGGTTCCCTGCCCCACCCAGAAGGAGTGTGGAACTGAGCAGAGAAAAAGGAGAGAGAAGAAGAGAGAAGGAAGGATGGAGAGCCAGGAGACCTGAGGAAGCCACATGGAGCAGCAAACATGTGATGAAGAAACCGGGCTTGTTTCCTGACACTGGACTGGTTAAGGCAGATGTGGGTGAGATACCTGCAGGGAGGTGACTATGGCAGTGTTTATATTGATTTTGATTTTGCTCTTTTCCTCCCAATTTGTCTGGCCATTTCTGACCCTTTTCCATGGGTCCTGGCCAAAAGGTGCTTTAGTCTTGTGGCAGCTTTCAGGCCTTGCTTTGGGCCAATCCCTTTTGGGTTAACTTTTGCCCACAAGGGGATGGGTAACTTCAGGTGTTTGATTTAGAAGTTATATTCTTTGTGTTCCATATTGTATATTCACTGTATTAAAGTCCCTTTTCACTAAAGCTTTATATGTTTTGTCTTGTTGCGGCGGATGGCAGAACCCACTTAGAGCAGGCAGGTTTGGGGCTTCAGGGGTGCCCCTCTCCCTGTCCTGTAACAGATTTGGGGAGCCCTATAACACCTAAAGCCCTGTACCTGGAAAGGGGGGTTATACTGCATGTAATTTACTACTCAGTAAACATAATTTTCTCTCTCTCTCTCTTGCCACACAGGCTTTTACTGTTTTAGAAATGAAGGTTATTGAGAAAGGAACTAGAGTTTTGTTTCTGAGGCCTGGGAGTGTGAGGCAGAATTTGAAGTTAATGGAAGAGAAATCCAGAAGGAGCCTCAAGTCAGGCTGGCAGAGACCTCAGCCTCCCCCCACAACCCCCACCTGCCTTACTAGCTTTAGTAGCATGGTGAGTTTTTTGCAAAAGAACCCAAGGCTGAAAGCACACAGGAAGTCACCTGTCTGAGAGCCAGGCCAACCTGGGATGGACAAAGACCTCCAGAGCTCCATTGCTCAGACCACAGCTGTGCTTCACTGAGCACCTTCTCCTTGTTTACTTCCCTCCCAGTACCCCAACCTGCCCCTACACACAACCCCCCCCCCCATCAGTTTGATCTGCCACCACTATGTTTAGAACTTTCCAGAATGGGCAGAGTTCATCTGGGTTCTCACACCCTGCAGGGGCATCTGGCTTCTTTTGCACAGCCCACACATTTGTTTTGCCCACACTGTTCCCACCCCCAACACCTGCGGCAGGAAAGGCAGAATCTGTTTTTACTGACAAAACCCACTACACTGAGAGCAGTCAGTGAGGAGGGAATCTAATGGGGCCACTTGCAGTAAAAGGAATAGAAGGCAGACTTGTCTACCCAGACATCCACTCAGAGAGAGGAGAAAAGAAGGAAAAATCCACCCCCCGCAACCCGCCCCTCCGCC